TCTGAATCCAGTTACGACAGGTGTGAGGCTGCTAGTGGTAGCTAAAGCGCTAAGTAAAAAGTCTAGAGGGAGGTCGTCATTTACTGTTATGAAAAAAAGCAGCACCATTCTGGGACGGATCAAAAATAATAATTCAACTGTGGAGGCCTCCTGGATCGTTTTGCAAGTCAATTACCCTCTAAGTGATTAGTTTGGAAAAAGTTATGTGAAAAAGGGAACAGGCCCCCCATCTTAAAATTATTTGTATGACTCTTGCAAGTTGTTTATTTTCTTCATAGCCTTAGGTGGAAAGAAATTAAGTGTGCTTGAAATGGGAATTATCCACATTTTTCAGCAAAAGCATAATCACACCCTACATTCATAGGGCTCAGGCTTTGAAGCCTGTGAAGCGTTCACTTAGTAGAAAGCTTAGGCAAACCAGGCAACCACTGAAGAAAGAAAGGACAGTTTAAATACTTCTGGTTTTATTGCATCATGGAAAAAATGATCATTTATCTCATTAAGATGAAGAATTTTTACTGGAGAACCCCTGCTGGGTTTATAAGCTTGCTGCACTGACTGTAGTAACTGAAAGAGCAGTGTTGTCCCTTCGCCTGGGGATAGATGTTGGCCTTTGTGGCAAGGTAAGGAAGGTAAATTGGTGACAGGTTCAGAGTATTTTTTTTAAAAATGTACATAAGTCTCTCTTGACTTAAACAGATGGAGCCTGTAAAATAAATGCATGTTAACTGCAATTTAGTTCACTTGTAGAAACCTCGGTTCTGATAGCTCTGTGCGCAGGGAGGACACGCTTACAGATGGGACCTGGGACTGAGAATCAGAAGAAAAATTTTTAGAAAAGGAAATAATTTCTTAAACTTTTGGTCTAGCTATGAGAGAAGTTGGTTACAGGGCCACTTTCAAAAGCACCATAGCCAAAGATGAATAAATTATGCTAAAGAAGTTAAAAATATTTGCCTTGAGACATGAAGCCTGCCTGACCATCACATGGAGATGTTTCCTTCCCTTGGCTGTGCCTGCGTGCTCACTGTCTGCAGACAGTGGGTACGTCTACCTGGATGCAACTTTAAGGAACTGAGCTCACTTTGAGCTCAAGCCAAAAAGACCTGCTGCCAAGCCCAGTGACTCATCACATACCAAAGCAGCACAGGTGCCAGGTGACACTCCCATGGCACTAACCCACCCTCCTCTCCTCTCAGCTCCTCAGTAAATCACTGACAGCTCTTCCTCTCCATCTTTTAAAAGGAACGATTTAATTGCACCTGAACACGTGTCTACATATACTCTCATATACTGATTTTAAAATACCCCTTTCAGAGCCCAGTTCATCTCTGATGTTGCCATGAAATATGTGATCCTTGAGACATGGGGCCACTTGGAAGCATGTCCACTCATTGCTGAGACTACCCAAAGGCTCCAGTGGGTAAAGTCTGCAAACAGTCAAAAGTTAATTGCTGCTGTGGCTCTCCACCTCAGCTATTGCAGGGCAGAGAATTCCTCTACCAGCTCCAAGAGGAGACATTCAGCAGATGGTCCTCAAATCATACACACATATCTGAGCACACTAAGATCCTGTAGAGTAGAGTCGAGTCGAGTCGAGTCGAGTCAAGTCAAGGATACTTCCTCAGCCAAAATACTTGGTTCTAACCTAGACTGAGTTAGTTTTACTACTTGTTGAAACTAGGGCTCTTCTTCAGTTTTTCACTTACGTTTTGCAAGATCTGTCAACTATGTCTCCAATTCCTACATGCTACTAAAATAACAAAGGCATCACACAAACAAACCTTAACAGCAGTCTCAAAAGAGTACTCAAAGCTTTCTGGTCCACAAAGGCTAAATTATATTGAACTTCAAAGGTGACAAATTTTCCTTATTTTAGATGCTGAGAAAAGTTTACCTTTTGTTAAGTTGCTAACAATCCATCCTTTCAATCTGCCCTCAGGCAATTTTCAGTTATTAATATTCCACTAACGACATCGTGATCACTCTCCTACCCTGCAACGAGGGCTGTAGTTATGATTGCAGGAATGTAACTGCATTCCGATAACGCCTCTTACTTGCACAATGTTTTAAAAGAAAATAAAAAGCAAGCACCTGGCAGATGTATTAAGCACTACATGTTACACAGCTGTACTACACGGCTGGGGCTGCTTCCTCCACAGCTCTCATTTCAGCACAGACCCATCTCTGTCGTTCTGAAGGCAAGCGCATATCCTGCGCTGGGCATTCACTCTGAGAAGTGCATGTTCCTCTGCTCTTCAGCCAGTGTCAGTGCAGTTCTTTACTACACTATTTTTTGAGTAGTTGTATTCTCCATCTTTGCATCCAAGGCTTTTGTTGGAAGAGGTATACACCTTTGAGGAATAAAACAATGCAGCACTGTTCCTTTACAATAGCTACGGTAGCACTGGAAAACACAAACCCCAGTTCAGCCCAGCTTCTTTGTATCTCCCCACAGAGATGCTCACCTTAATGAACCTTTTATTCTTCAGCTGTCTGTGTCAAAGGTGCTCTGTACAGATATTTGTTAAGTATTTACAGTGAAAATGTAAAAGGCAACACTAAAGATCAAAGCAGAATCTTCTCTAAGCATGTGATACTCCTCCCTCTGGCATTACGTGGAGAACATAGTTCACCCACAGTATGCTTTGCCCATCTCTACATCTTGCCTTACAGTAGAATCATAGAATCATAGAATTATTTAGGTGGTAAGCAGTGCAAAGCCCAGCATTCAAGATCTTAAAAACCTGCTCCATTTCGCAGCTTGCCTTGTGTTTTTTTTTGCAATGCCATCTTCTGCCCCCGTCCAAGTCACTCTCCCAAAGTACAGACTTGCTGGTGAAGGATAAGGCTACATCAGGCCTGCTCCACTGTGCAAAACTTAAAATATGCTGAGACCCTGAGTAAACGATCAGAGAAGGAATCTAAAAAATTTTGTTGGTTGCTATTTGAAGTGAAGAACTAATATGTATTTTCAAGTAGCTACTAAGGATTTACTGAATACATCATTTATTATTGATACTCCTTCCCTTAAGACAGATCGCTCTAAATCATTTTTCCATATTTATTCTGCTCCACTGTGCAAAACTTAAAATATGCTGAGACTCTGAGTAAACGATCAGAGAAAGAATCTAAAAAATTTTGTTGGTTGCTATTTGAAGTGAAGAACTAATATGTATTTTGAAGTAGCTACTAAGGATTTACTGAATACATCATTTATTATTGATACTCGTTCCTTAAGACAGATCACTCTAAATCATTTTTCCATATTTATTCTATAGAATCATAGAATGTCTGGGCTGGAAGGGACCTCCAAAGGTCATCCAGTCCAACTCCCCCTGCCACAAGCAGCGACATCTCTAACTAGATCAAGCTACTCAGAGCCTCATCCAGCCTGATCTTGAATGTCTCCAGGGATGGGGCCTCCACCACCTGTCTGGGCAACCTGTTCCAGTGGTCTATCACCCTCGTATTGAAGAACTTTTTCCTAACATTTAACCAAAAGCTCCCCTTTTCTAGCTTAAAGCCATTACCCCTCGTCCTGTCACTACAAACCCTTGTGAATAGTCCCTCCCCTGCTTTCTTGTAGGCCCCTTTCAGGTACTGGAAGGTTGCTATGAGGTCCCCCTGGAGCCTCCTCTTCTCCAGGCTGAACAGCCCCAACTCCCTCAGCCTGTCCTCACAGCAGAGCTGCTCCAGACCTCTGCTCATTTTTGTGGTTCTCCTCTGAACACGTTCCAACAGCTCCATGTCCTTCTTGTGCTGGGGGCGCCAGAGCTGGACACAGGACTCCAGGGGAGGTCTCCCCAGGGCAGAGCAGAGGGGCAGGATCACCTCTCTCCATCTGCTGGCCACACTTCTTTTGATGCAGCCCAGGATTCGATTTGCCTTCTGGGCTGCTGCTGCACATTAGAACATGTTACTATAGTAGAGCAAAACAAAGTCATGTCACTATGAACCCATTAGTTATATGAATAAAAAAAAGAATAAATCAGCACAGCTTCACTTAATACCCATGTATTTATTTGGAGTCAATTTTATTTCCACCAGCCCTACATGACAGGCTCCCAAAACCAACACAGGTGAATCTTTTGGCTTGAAACAAGGCTCCTATGTCAAGACTACTGGTTTCTGATAGATCTTCCACAATGAAAGAATGAATGCTGTGTTTTTTGAAAAGATTTTTATTAAAGAATATTCAGTCAGCCGTATTAGACAGACATATCTAATCTCATTGCTGAGTTAAAGTGCCATCAGTCATAACAAACACACGCTGAAAAGCATATTCTCTGTGGCTTAATCCAGTGAGGTCTTGTGAACTTTGTACACACAAAATTTTTGACATGCAAAGCCCCATCAGGACCATAATACATCTGTCAAATACATTTTCAGTTAAACCCGAGGTGCCTATATCAAGAAATAACAAGTTCAGCACACATGAAAAGAAAAATACAGCTTGCAAACCCAAGTGTACATACTCACTGAACAGCAGCGACATCACTCAATAAAAGTGACTTTGTGCTTCACAGCTAAACTGTACCCAGCTCAACAGTTCTGTCCACTGAACCATGGGGCTGGCAAGTCTTTGAATGGCACTCAGAGGCCCAGGTAATTACAGTGCAAGACATCAGTAAAACTCTGTATTCCATTTTTCACTGTGATGGCTCACAAAACACAATTCTATAATTATTATGAGGATTTATTTTCAAAACCTTTCTACAGAAGTGTTTCACCATCAGTTCCCTGCATTTTCCAGCCCGACTACAAGTACTGGAACATGACAAATATGCATATATATTGCAAACAGAGTTTTCATTTCTATTTGTAAAACACATGTTTCCAAGCATATTTAACCAGAAATTTTATTCACACCCTCAAAAGATCCTTTCAGATCCTTTTTGAATGCCTTGTGTCTATTAATTATTGTCTCATATTTCAAAACAGAGTTCCAGCATGAGCCCCTCCCCGATTTAACGCTTACTGAGCAAAGTAATCTGCACTCCCACAGCACTTACAGTGAGAATTACACTGTTACAAACGTGTTCCACAGTTATCTGCACTCTATTTTGCAGACAACCCCCAGCACTTATTTCAATAAGCCAACCATCACTTCACTGATATCCCACAACTTTCTTGCAACCAAATCATCCATGGCTTTGGGCAGGAGCTCCTCCTCTTTGCAGTCCCCAAAGTATTTTCCTGATACACCTTCGACATCAGGAGAAGAGGCCAAGTAAATAGAAGTCTGGGCTCCTTCCAGAGGTGTTTTGAAGAAAGCCCATGACACCAAGTTGAACAGAGGTTTTGCCAGCAGAGGAATATTCACGTACCTGCCTAGATTCGTTCTGACAATCCCAGGATGAAGCGAATTGACGGTGACTCCTGTCCCTTCTAAGCGACGGGCTAGCTCCCTTGCAAATAAGATGTTAGCCAGCTTACTCCGACTGTAACAAAAGCTTTTATTGTAACTTATTTCACTGTTCAAGTCTTCAAAGTTGATCTCTCCATACTTGTAGAGCTTTGAGGATACTACCACAATCCTGCTGGGAGCAGAATTTTTGAGGAGGCCCAGAAGAAGGTTGGTGAGCAAGAAGTGACCCAAGTGGTTTACACCAAACTGCATCTCAAACCCATCCTCTGTCTTCATGTACGGACACTGGAACACCCCTGCATTATTTATCAGAACATCCAGCCTTGGCTCTTCCTTTAAATAGGAAAGAAAAAAAAGTTCAGTTTTATAGGTGTCATACAAAACATATCATCATGCTTAATATTCCCCACTGGCCCTTGTTAGAAATAAATTAATTCCTGGTTATCTGAATTGTAAGTTCCTGATACTCTCTTAAAGCACTGCTGAAAAAAAAAAAAATGTAAATTGTGAACTACCAGGGAACTGAGTCCCTGACCCCAGCACAATGCAGGTACATGAGGGTAGGTCTGTGTCTACTTTTAATACAGGCAGAGAACACAACCATCTGCTCCTCCAGGAGCAGCTTTTTCTGTAGCAATTCAGTGATTATTTACCTTTGTGATGTGTTTTGTTGGCCTGTAAAGAGTAAGCTGCACTGCAAAAGCAGACACATTCATTTATGGCAAAACTCAGCCATAAGCAAGGGCTCTACTGTGCAGAAGATATGATAATATGGAACAGAAGGAGCTGGCTCACAGTACTAACCTCATGGTTGAAAAAAAAAGTCAAATTGCCTTCATTGCACTACAGAGATGTCATGCAAAACTTTGCAAAACAATGTTCTCTTGATTTTAAACACCACCTTATTTTAAAATCACTACAGTTCATTGTGCTGCTGGGTGACAACTGCAGAGCAGAATTCATTACAGAAAAGGAACAGTCACAGTCCTGAACTGAGCAGGTTTCATACAACAATTTGAGTCTCATAGCTGTACTCAAGAACTAAGGCATGTCTACAAGACTGTGGCTTGAATCTTCTGTGATGTGCTCAGCACATGCTATTTGATGGATCAGTACTCTGGTTCAGGTAAGGAGAAAACACAGACTCAGAGGACGTGTGTTACACTGTACACAATCAGGAAACACAACGAAGAGGTATGGATAATTTAAATATATGTGTACTACATCACATACTTCAAGCTTCAGCATCCATTCAGAATTTAAGGGCTCTTCAATTTATCCAAAACAATAACTTTTTCAAAAATACAGATTAAAGCAAGCTGCCTAAATAAACTCTGAATTCAGCACTTTCACCCACCTCTGACAAAGGATTGTGAAAGTGCTGCAGAAAATTTATGCTTGCATGAATCATAAGCAAAAGTATTAAAAAAAAAAAAAAAAGGCAGCAAGAGTTTTCTTTGCTGCTAATTCTTTAAACCTAAAGCACAGACTGAAGGCAAGCTGAGATCATTTTGGGTCATTCTGATGATAAAAAAAGAAATCCTCAAAATTAATTTTATACTACTTGCCTTTTATTTGACTGCCATTAGCAGCAAAGATAAAAAGAAAGCAAAACTCACATCTGCACTTAGAATTCAGATAATGATGATGGCATCTGATCACACAAAAGACCAAGTACTTCAACCTCTGATTTCCTCAGGACTTGAAGCTACTCAGCTTTTCATGGAACTGGGTCCCTGAGGCACGATCCAAAGAGCATCAAACTCACTCCTCTTCACCCAAACGGACATATTGGCTACTATGACTGAACACAGACAGGCCTGAAGAAGTACTGACTGTAGATCTGCTCACCAAAGTGAGGCTTCTTTCTTCTTCAGAGAAAAGCACTGCTTTAGAAACTTTCTGTACCATCTGACTGGAGGCCTTATTTTGCAAGACTTAACACTTCAAGAAGCAAGACCCCTACTTGTGCTATTTTTTGAGACTCCTGAATTTAATAACCTAGAGTAATGTGATCAGTGCCAAGCAGCCAGCTATGACCCAGTGCAAGAGACAGCACAAAGTGCTGTTTTGACGGGTAATGCTATTCCTTGTAGCTTCTGAGCTCACTTCCATTTTTCCATGGAGCCCAACAACATTTCTAAGTCTTAATTTTTGCAGTGAGGCAAAGGAGAGACAGATGGAATCCCTTGAACTTCTGGAAAGAAAAAAACCCACAAATTGAGTTAGGCAGTGGGAGTGCAGTTTCCCCATCCTGTCAGTATTTAAGTCTCCATCTCAAACAAACACACAAAAACCCCCCAAACAAACAGCTCCAAAACCAAGTCACAGGTTAGAGAAGATAACATGAACGTGGGCCGAAGTCCTTCAATGTTCTACTTGAACTCACATTCCTTGTTCTTCATCTGCTTTTGAAATCATTTTGAAAATGAAAGTTACAGTCTAGGAGTCCACAACCCTTGGCAGATACACACAAGTTTTCTCTACCCATTCCTCACTTAAAAGTCGTTTACACTGGCTTTACCAAGAAGGAGGCTAAAAGGTTTACATTTGGGAATATCTTGTATTACAAAATATAAAATTTTAAAAAGTTAGGTAGTATATTTCTTTTCTAGTGTTTACTCTAAAAATTATTATGTACATGTGTATTTTCCCAGCACACTGAAGCAAGATTAGGCTTCACCACTGGATTTGTACATATGAATGTACAGAACTGCACAGAGCACCACTGCAGAACTTAACAGTTTTTTTTTTTTTTCCAGACATATAAGTTTCAGAAAAACTATTTTACTATCAATGCAATAAAGTCCTTTTCTCTTTTTTCCTCCCTCTCTCAACAGCATCTGAGCATCCTTCAAGTACTTAAGGAGTTCTCTGAACAGCAGAAGAACTTATTAAGCCTGGTTCCCATGACTTTGTGTCTCATGGATTGAGTAGCTACATGGGGTGAGAGTCCCAGCTGATACTTTTCATGGAAATGGAGTAACGCCTCCAATGGTACCACCTCCTTCTGCTCTCTGGTGTCTAATATTGCAGACAACCTCATCCAGTGGTGTATCTGTCAGGCAAATCAACTGCATGCCCCTGTTGTCCTTAAACTCAGGTTTTCAGGATATATGCATAAACCATATATATAAAAATGTCCATCTACTAAACTCAGATAGTACTGGCCAAGAAATTCAAAATAGGGAGACCAGAACAGTCTGGGAAGGTGGCAGAAGTACGGTTGGAGCTCTGAGCAGTGCACTTGTGAACTTTTATTTCTTTGGAAACAAGGTTAAGCTGTAACATTAATTTAAAATAACAAAGGCAGGTTACTGTACAGTCGAAAACAGGGAAAGTAAGGTAAATAATTTATATCACAGTGTTTCCTTTTCAGAATAAAGGTACTCGAATAGTTTGTACTATTATAATAGCCTAAACTGGCAGGAAATTCATGCTCAAGATGCTCATTTAAAATGAGGGCCTGTTTACTCGTGCCCTCCTTGCAAAGCCTGCGGTGCCCTCGGGACCACCCCGCGCCCCCAAACCGGGCCGCCCGCGGCAGGAACAGGCCCTGCGACCAAGGAGCCCCAAGGACGCCGC